TATAGTTTGCGTGTGTAGCGTGTGGTGTAGTGTGTTGGTGTAGTGTGTGGGTGTAGTGTGTGGGTGTAGTGCTTGGGTGTATTGTGCTGTTGTAGTGTTTGGGTGTAGCGTGTGGGTGAAGTGTGTGGGTGTAGTGTCCGGGTGCAGTGTCCGGGTGTAGTGTATTGGTGCAGTGTCCGGGTGTAGTGTGTGGGTTTAGTGTCCGGGTGTAGTGTGTAAGTGTAGTGTGTGGGTGTAGAGTGCGGGTGTAGTGTTCGGGTGTAGTGTGCGGGTGTAGTGTGCGGGTGTAGTGTCCGGGTGTAGTGTGTTGGTGTAGTATCCGGGTGTAGTGTGTGGGTGTTGTGTGTGGGTGTAGTGTGTGGGTGTAGTGTGCAGGTGTAGTGTGCGGGTGTATTATCCGGGTGTAGTGTGCGGGTGTAGTGTGCGGGTGTAGTTTCCGGGTGAAGTGTCGGGCTGTAGTGTGTTGGTGTAGTGTCCGGGTGTAGTGTCCGGGTGTAGTGTGTAAGTGTAATGTGTGGGTGTAGAGTGCGGGTGTAGTGAGTAAGTGTAGTGTGCAGGTGTAGTGTGCGGGTGTAGTGTGCGGGTGTAGTGTGCGGGTGTAGTGTATGGGTGTAGAGTGCGGATGTTGTGTGTGGGTGTAGTGTGCGTGTGTAGTGTGCGGGTGTAGTGTCCGGGTGTAGTGTGCGGGTGAAGTGTGCGGGTGTAGTGTGAGGGTGTAGAGTGTTGGTATGGGGTCCGGGTGTAGTTTGTGGGTGTAGTGTGTAGGTGCAGTGTGCAGGTGTAGTGTGTTGGTATAGTGTCTGAGTGTAGTGTTCGGGTGTAGTGTGCGGGTGTAGTGTCCAGGTGTAGTGTGTGGGTGTATTGTGTTGGTGTAGTGTCCGGGTGTAGAGTGCGGGTGTAGTGTGCGGGTGTAGTGTCTGGTTGTAGTGTGTTGGTGTAGTGCCCGGGTGTAGAGTGTGGGTGTAGTGTGCGATTGTAATGTCCGGGTGTAGTGTGCGGGTTTAGTGTGCGGGTGTAGTGTCCGGGTGTAGTGTCCAGGTGTAGTGTGTTGGTGTAGTGTCCGGGTGTAGTGTGTGGGTGTAGTGTCCGGGTGTAGTGTGTGGGTGTAGTGTCCGGGTGTAGTGTGTAAGTGTTGTGTGTAGGTGTAGTATGCGGTTATAGTGTGCAAGTGTAGTGTGCGGGTGTAGTGTGCGGGTCTAGTGTCCGGGTGTAGTGTGTTGGTGTAGTGTCCGGGTGTAGTGTGTGGGTGTAGTGTGTGGGTGCAGTGTGCGGGTGTAGTGTGCGAGTGTTGTGTGTGTTTGTAGTGTGCGGGTGTAGTGTGTGGATGTAGTGTGGGGGTGTAGTGTACGGGTGTAGTGTGTGGGTGTAGTGTGCTGGTGTAGTGTGTGTGGGTGTAGTGTGCGGGTGTAGTGTGTGGATGTTGTGTGCGGGTGTAGTGTACGGGTGTAGTGTGTGGGTGTAGTGTGCGGGTGTAGTGTGTGGGTGTAGTGTGCGGGTGTAGTGTGTGGGTGTTGTGTGCGAGTGTAGTGTGCGAGTGTAGTGTGTGGGTGTAATGTGCGAGTGTAGTGTGCGAGTGTAGTGTGCGGGTGTAGTGTGCGAGTGTAGTGTCACCCGGATCAAAATCCATCACTAACTCATATCTTTCTGCACCAAATACTTTCAATAAGCAATCAGGAGCATACTAGAACTACAGTCTGCCCTCTGAGGACACACTCAATCACTTCAAGATGTATTATTAGAATAATTTAGTCGTCTCCTTCCTTGAAGAAAATCATGCAAACCCCATGCAAGGTCTCCGCATCGTGCAACGTTGCTTCATCACAAAGGTGTTTAAGTATATCATCACAGAGACGTTGAAGTGTGTCATCACAGAGACTTTGAAGTGTGTCATCACAGAGACTTTGAAGTGTGTCATCCCAGAGACGTTGAAGTGTGTCATCACAGAGACTTTGAAGTGTGTCATCCCAGAGACGTTGAAGTGTGTCATCACAGAGACGTTGAAGTGTGTCATCACAGAGACGTTGAAGTGTGTCATCACAGAGACTTTGAAGTGTGTCATCACAGAGACGTTGAAGTGTGTCATCACAGAGACTTTGAAGTGTGTCATCACAGAGACGTTGAAGTGTGTCATCACAGAGACTTTGAAGTGTGTCATCACAGAGACGTTGAAGTGTGTCATCACAGAGACGTTGAAGTGTGTCATCACAGAGACATTGAAGTGTGTAGTTATGAGCACAAAAAAGTGTACCAAGCAGTGTACTACTTTCCTAACTAAACATCCTTCAACAGAAAAGTGCGGACTAGTGTGTACACGGCTTTATGACAGCTTACAAGGTGTAGTCTAATTACGCAGTTATGAACTCAAGGCCACAGTAATTATCTGCTTGATTTTATTTATCTCATAAAATAATAAAAATTTAAGATTTAAATCTAATAAGCGTAAGGGATTCCTTCATTAAAAAGCTGGAGAACTATAGAACAAAAATAAATTGCATATAATTACTGCGTCTTCTGTGTGACCTCCCACTCAATGTGTGACCTCCCACTCAGTGTGTGACCTCCCACTCAGTGTGTGTGACCTCCCACTCAGTGTGTGTGACCTCCCACTCAGTGTGTGTGACCTCCCATTCAGAGTGTGTGACCTCCCACTCAGTGTGTGTGACCTCCCACTCAGTGTGTGCCCTCCCACTCAGTGTGTGTGACCCACTCAGTGTGTGCCCTCCCACTCAGTGTGTGTGACCTTCCACTCAGTGTGTGCCCTCCCACTCATTGTGTGTGACCTCCCACTCAGTGTGTGCCCTCCCACTCAGTGTGTGTGACCTCCCACTCAGTGTGTGCCCTCCCACTCAGTGTGTGTGACCTCCCACTCAGTGTGTGCCCTCCCACTCAGTGTGTGTGACCTCCCACTCAGTGTGTGCCCTCCCACTCAGTGTGTGTGACCTCCCACTCAGTGTGTGCCCTCCCACTCAGTGTGTGTGACCTCCCACTCAGTGTGTGCCCTCCCACTCAGTGTGTGTGACCTCCCACTCAGTGTGTGCCCTCCCACTCAGTGTGTGCCCTCCCACTCATTGTGTGTGACCTCCCACTCAGTGTTATGATTCAGCATTCCCCAATATGACTGGTATACTAGGTGATCATACCTTAAAATTATATAAGACAGTATAACATTGTATCACCATTATAAATTGAATTTGCTATATCTTTGATACTTTATTATGTATATAGGTTATATGTATTACTGCACTATGTGTTATGAATCACTATCCTAAATATTATTATATATCTATTAATATGATGTCAAGTGAAGTAGGCTACTATTGGTTGATTAATATTTGCAATATCTTGTATTGTGAGGATATATACTCATAGGCAGGGTTATAAGATCATGTTGTGTTATATTATACTTGTATCATTGTATAACTATGTATTGATAAATATTGTTTTAGAGAAGAGTGGTAAAGGTTGAGCCGGCTGGCTAGGCTAAATTGTTTTGAATCCTTCCATCCCCCCCCCCCCCTCCCTCACCACACAGTGCTTACCTGTCAAAATTACCAAGTCGAGTAGATTGGAATTCTCTGTTTTTATTAGAATATTAATATAGTCGAGTAGATTTTTGTATATTATTCAATTCTTCATTGTGTGCTTATATGATTATACTATTTAATATTGTGAGCTGTATACTGTGATTCTCATTACATCTGTAGGTGCTCAAGGCTCCACTGAATTGTAAACTGAGTTATATGAGTTAGAATGTTTGAAAGAGAACTTGACTGTTATGTTACAGTGTTGGCATCTGTGCGTCGCCGCACGTCCGCCGCAGTGCCAACCTCTCTGGTCTGTAGGTTTTTAGAGAGGACGGTTGTGCTAGGTCCGACTCCTGTTCATTGGTCCACGGACCTTGTAATCACACTGATGTAAACTGAGAGTACTGCATGGTGATGGATCAGGACAAACCAGGGCATTCATATTTTGTGGAGCATTTGTGGAACAGGTGGTAGGTGACTATTATGTGTAAACAGTTTTATAAATCTGCATGGACGTATCTTTGCCCATCCTTCATTGGATGAAGAGTGGTAGGTAGCTGAGGACTTAACTGTGATTTTGAGTGTCCTGATTGAGACTGACTTCTTCCCCACTTAATTGAAGATGTGTCACCTCCATACTGTGTCCATGACCTTAGAGCATACCAGGAACTAGTGTACCACTACGCTAGGATGGAGCCTAGTGTTAGCTAGTCCATACATTTATGCTACTGACAGTACTATTATTATTATTATCCCGAGAAGCTTTGATAAAGGCCATACTGTTTTTGTTTTTCTTGAGGATCAGCTTCATATCTGTATATATGTATTACGGTGTCATACATGTAGGTATACCCCAGTAAACTGGTGATTTTTTTATTGACTTTTCCCTAACCCTAGACCTGTAGGCCTGAGTGCAGGTTCACAATGAAGTTACCCAAGCACTTACGAACGTGTACATCTTTCCTCAATCTTTGACGGGTTTGGTTACATTTACTAAACAGTTTACAAGCATGAAAATTTCCCGATCATCTGTTATTATTGTTATAAACAGCCTCCAGGTACTTCAGAGGTCGGTCATTAACTGTTTAATAATTGTAAACAAAGTCACCAAAGACTGAGAAAAGATGGACACGTTCGTAAGTACTTGCGTAGCTTCTTCGTGAATCTGGCCCCGAGTTGGCTCTAATGTGGTTTCGGGAAGGTTCTACGTCGCCAGCGATGATGTGGGGAGTGCAGACACGGCAACCTCCCAATCAGTGTGTGACCTCCCACTCAGTGTGTAGTGTGTCACCTCCCACTCAGTGTGTGACCTCCCACTCAGTGTGTAGTGTGTCACCTCCCACTCAGTGTGTGACCTCCCACTCAGTGTGTAGTGTGTCACCTCCCACGCAGTGCGTAGTATGTCACCTCCCACTCAGTTTGTAGTGTGTCACGTCAGACTCAGTGTGAGTCCTTAAACACATTAACTCCACTCACTTTGAATGGCCGAGATCAGTTCACTGTTGCCCCGGTCTTGTGCAATATCTTGAGCTGTCTTGCCTGTGGGAAAACAAAGCAAAATTACTGTAGAGAATGTTATAGCAAACATACATTTGTTTGGCTCTGTACAGCTAAATAGGATGTATTTGTGTGTCACGGTGCTTGAGAAAAGTTGAAACTCGTAATATTACTCCTGCTGGCTGCTTGTGTGTGTACCTTGGCACCCAGGACCCATGTGTACCTTGGCACCCAGGACCCATGTGTACCTTGGCACCCAGGACCCATGTGTACCTTGGCACCCAGGACCCATGTGAACCTTGGCACCCAGGACCCGTGTGTACCTTGGCACTCAGGACCCGTGTGTACCTTGGCACCCAGGACCCATGTGTACCTTGGCACCCAGGACCCATGTGAACCTTGGCACCAAAGACCCATGTGTACCTTGGCACCCCAGGACCCGTGTGTACCTCGTGTGTACCTTGGCACCCAGGACCCATGTGTACCTTGGCACCCAAGACCCGTGTGTACCTTGGCACCCAGGGCTCGTGTGCACCTTGGTTCCCAGGACGCGTGTGTACCTTGGCACCCAGGACCCGTGTGTACCTTGGCACCCAGGACCCATGTGTACCTTGGCACCAAGGACCCGTGTGTACCTTGGCACCCAGGACCCGTGTGTACCTTGGCACCCAGGACCCGTGAGTACCTTGATGTCCAGGACCCATGTGTACCTTGACACCCAGGTCCCATGTATACCTTGGCACCCAGGACTCATGTGTACCCCAGGACCCATGTGTACCTTGGCACACAAGACCCGTGTGTACCTTGGCACCCAGGACCCGTATTTACCTTGGCACCCAGGACCCATGTGTACCCCAGCACCCAGGGCCCGTGTGTACCCAGGACCCGTGTGTACCCCAGCACCCAGGGCCCGTGTGTACCCCAGCACCTAGGACCCGTGTGTACCTTGGCACCCAGGACCCGTGTGTACCTGGTACCCAGGACCCGTGTGTACCTTTGCACCAGGACCCGTATGTACCTCAGCACCCAAGATCCGTGTGTACCCCAGTACCCGTGTGTACCCCGGCACCCAGGACCCGTGGGTATCCCAGCACCCAGGACCCGTGTGTACCCCAGCACCCACGGCCCGTGTGTACCCCAGCACCCAAGACCCGTGTGTACCCCAGCACCCAGGACCCGTGTGCACCTTGTCACCCAGGACTCATGTGTACCTTGGCACCCTGGACCCGTGAGCACCCCGGCACCCAGGACCTGTGTGTACCTTGGCACCCAGGACCCGTGTGTACCTTGGCACCCAGGACCCGTGTGTACCACAGCACCCTGGACCCGTGTGTACCTTGGGACCCAGGACCCATTTGTACCACAGCACCCAGGACCGATTTGTACCCCAGCACCCAAGACCAGTGAGTACCTTGGCACCCAGGACCCGTGTGTAACCCAGCACCCCGGACCCATGTGTACCCCGGCACCCAGGACCCGTGTGTACCCCAGCACCCAGGACCCATGTGTACCTTGGCACCCAGGACCCGTGTGTACCTTGGCACCCATGACCCGTGTGTACCCCAGCACCCAGGACCCATGTGTACCTTAGCACCAGGATCCATGTGTACCCGGCACCCAGTACTCGTGTGTACCTTGGCACCCAGGAACCATGCGTACCTTGGCACCCAGGACCTGTGTGTACCTTGGCACCCAGGACCCATGTGTACCTTGGAACCCATGACCCGTGTGTACCCCAGCACCTAGGACCTGTGTGTACCTTGCCACCCAAGACTCGTGTGTACCCCAGCACCCAGGACCCGTGAGTATCTTGGCACCCAGGATTCGTGTGTACCTTGGCACCCAGGACCCGTGTGTACCTTGGCACCCAGGACCCATGTGTACCTTGGCACCCATGACCCATGTGTAACCCCGGCACCCAGTACCCGTGTGTACCTTGGCACCCAGGACCCGTGTGTACCCCAGCACCCAGGGCCCGTGAGTACCTTGGCACCCAGGACCCATGTGTACCTTGGCACCCAGGACCCGTGTGTACCTTGGCACCCAAGACCCATGTGTACCTAGCACCCAGGACCCGTGTGTACGCCCGGCCTGTGTCACCTCCCACGCAGTGCGTAGTATGTCACCTCCCACTCAGTTTGTAGTGTGTCACGTCAGACTCAGTGTGAGTCCTTAAACACATTAACTCCACTCACTTTGAATGGCCGAGATCAGTTCACTGTTGCCCCGGTCTTGTGCAATATCTTGAGCTGTCTTGCCTGTGGGAAAACAAAGCAAAATTACTGTAGAGAATGCAATAGCAAACATACATTTGTTTGGCTCTGTACAGCTAAATAGGATGTATTTGTGTGTCCCGGTGCTTGAGAAAAGTTGAAACTCGTAATCTTACTCCAGCTGGCTGCTTGTGTGTGTACCTTGGCACCCAGGACCCATGTGTACCTTAACACCCAGGACCCATGTGTACCTTGGCACCCAGGACCCCATGTGTACCTTGGCACCCAGGACCCATGTGAACCTTGGCACCCAGGACCGTGTGTACCTTGGCACTCAGGACCCGTGTGTACCTTGGCACCCAGGACCCATGTGTACCTTGGCACCCAGGACCCATGTGAACCTTGGCACCAAAGACCCATGTGTACCTTGGCACCCCAGGACCCGTGTGTACCTCGTGTGTACCTTGGCACCCAGGACCCATGTGTACCTTGGCACCCAAGACCCGTGTGTACCTTGGCACCCAGGGCTCGTGTGCACCTTGGTTCCCAGGACGCGTGTGTACCTTGGCACCCAGGACCCGTGTGTACCTTGGCACCCAGGACCCATGTGTACCTTGGCACCAAGGACCCGTGTGTACCTTGGCACCCAGGACCCGTGTGTACCTTGGCACCCAGGACCCGTGAGTACCTTGATGTCCAGGACCCATGTGTACCTTGACACCCAGGTCCCATGTATACCTTGGCACCCAGGACTCATGTGTACCCCAGGACCCATGTGTACCTTGGCACACAAGACCCGTGTGTACCTTGGCACCCAGGACCCGTATTTACCTTGGCACCCAGGACCCATGTGTACCCCAGCACCCAGGGCCCGTGTGTACCCAGGACCCGTGTGTACCCCAGCACCCAGGGCCCGTGTGTACCCCAGCACCTAGGACCCGTGTGTACCTTGGCACCCAGGACCCGTGTGTACCTTGGTACCCAGGACCCGTGTGTACCTTTGCACCCAGGACCCGTATGTACCTCAGCACCCAAGATCCGTGTGTACCCCAGTACCCGTGTGTACCCCGGCACCCAGGACCCGTGGGTATCCCAGCACCCAGGGCCCGTGTGTACCCCAGCACCCACGGCCCGTGTGTACCCCAGCACCCAAGACCCGTGTGTACCCCAGCACCCAGGACCCGTGTGCACCTTGTCACCCAGGACTCATGTGTACCTTGGCACCCTGGACCCGTGAGCACCCCGGCACCCAGGACCTGTGTGTACCTTGGCACCCAGGACCCGTGTGTACCTTGGCACCCAGGACCCGTGTGTACCACAGCACCCTGGACCCGTGTGTACCTTGGGACCCAGGACCCATTTGTACCACAGCACCCAGGACCGATTTGTACCCCAGCACCCAAGACCCGTGAGTACCTTGGCACCCAGGATCCGTGTGTACCCCAGCACCCAGGACCCATGTGTACCCCGGCACCCAGGACCCGTGTGTACCCCAGCACCCAGGACCCATGTGTACCTTGGCACCCAGGACCCGTGTGTACCTTGGCACCCATGACCCGTGTGTACCCCAGCACCCAGGACCCATGTGTACCTTAGCACCAGGATCCATGTGTACCCCGGCACCCAGTACTCGTGTGTACCTTGGCACCCAGGAACCATGCGTACCTTGGCACCCAGGACCTGTGTGTACCTTGGCACCCAGGACCCATGTGTACCTTGGAACCCATGACCCGTGTGTACCCCAGCACCTAGGACCTGTGTGTACCTTGGCACCCAAGACTCGTGTGTACCCCAGCACCCAGGACCCGTGAGTATCTTGGCACCCAGGATTCGTGTGTACCTTGGCACCCAGGACCCGTGTGTACCTTGGCACCCAGGACCCATGTGTACCTTGGCACCCATGACCCATGTGTACCCCCGGCACCCAGTACCCGTGTGTACCTTGGCACCCAGGACCCGTGTGTACCCCAGCACCCAGGGCCCGTGAGTACCTTGGCACCCAGGACCCATGTGTACCTTGGCACCCAGGACCCGTGTGTACCTTGGCACCCAAGACCCATGTGTACCTAGCACCCAGGACCCGTGTGTACGCCAGCACCCAGGGCCCATGTGTAACCCAGCACCCAGGACCCGTGTGTACTTTGGCACCCAGGACCCGTGTGTACCTTGGCACCCAGGACCCGTGTGTACCTTTGCACCCTGGACCCATGTGTACCCAGCACCCAGGACCCGTGTGTACCCCAGCACCCAGGGCCCGTGTGTACCCCAGCACCCAGGACCCGTGTGTATCTTGGCACCCAGGGGCCCGTGTGTACCTTGGCACCCAGTACCAGTGTGTACCTTGGCACCCAGGACCCGTGTGTACTTTGCTACCCAGGACCCGTGTGTACACCAGCACCCAGGACCCGTGTGTACCTTGGCACCCAGGACCCATGTGTACCCAGCACCCAGGACGCGTGTGTACCCCAGCACCCAGGGCCCGTGTGTACCCCAGCACCCAGGACCCGTGTGTACCTTGGCACCCAGGACCCGTGTGTACCCCAGCACTCAGGACCCGTGAGTACCTTGGCACCCAAGACCCATGTGTACCCAGCACCCAGGACCCGTGTGTACCCCAGCACCCAGGGCACATGTGTACCCCAGCACCCAGGACCTGTGTGTACCTTGGCACCCAGGACCCGTGTGTACCTTGGCACCCAGGACCCGTGTGTACCTTTGCACCCAGGACCCGTGTGTACCTCAGCACCCAAGATCCGTGTGTACCCCAGCACCCAGTACCCGTGTGTACCCCGGCACCCAGGACCCGTGTGTATCCCAGCACCCAGGACCCGTGTGTACCCCAGCACCCAGGGTCCGTGTGTACCCCAGCACCCAGGACCCGTGTGTACCTTGGCACCCAGGACCCGAGTGTACCTTGGCACCCAGGACCCATGTGTACCTTGGCACCCAGGACCCGTGTGTACCTTGGCACCCAGGACATGTGTGTACCTTGGCACCCCGGACGCGTGTGTACCCCAGTACCCAGGACCAGTGTGTATCCCAGCACCCAGGACCCGTGTGTACCTTGGCACCCAGGACGCGTGTGTACCCCAGCACCCAGGATCCGTATGTATCCCAGCACCCAGGATCCATGTGTACCTTGGCACCCAGGACCCGTGTGTACCTTGGCACCCAGGACCCATGTGTACTCCGGCACCAAGGACCCGTGTGTACCCAAGCACCAAGGACCCATGTGTATCTTAGCACCAAGGACCCATGTGTACCCCAGCACCCAGGACCCCTGTTTACCCCAGCACCCAGGATCCATGTGTACCTTGGCACCCAGGACCCGTGTGTACCTTGGCACCCAGGACCCATGTGTACTCCGGCACCAAGGACCCGTGTGTACCCAAGCACCAAGGACCCATGTGTATCTTAGCACCAAGGACCCATTTGTACCCCAGCACCCAGGACCCGTGAGTACCTAGGCACCCAGGACCCGTGTGTACCTTGGCGCCCAGGACCCGTGTGTACCATGGCACCCAGGTTCCATGTGTACCTTGGCAACCAGGGCCTATGTGTGCCTTGGCACCCAGGACCCATGTGTACGTTGGCACTCAGGACCATTGTGTACCTTGGCACCCAGGACCCATGTGTACCTTAACACCCAGGATCCATGTGTACCCCAGCACCTAGGACCCGTGTGTACCTTGGCACCCAAGACTCGTGTGTACCCCAGCACCCAGGACCCGTGAGTATCTTGGCACCCAGGACCCGTGTGTACCTTGGCACCCAGGACCCATGTGTGCCTTGGCACCCATGACCCATGTGTACCCCCGGCACCCAGGACCCGTGTGTACCTTGGCACCCAGGACCCGTGTGTACCCCAGCACCCAGGACCCATGTGTACCTTTACACCCAGGACCCGTGTGTACCCCAGCACCCAGGGCCCGTGAGTACCTTGGCACCCAGGTCCCGTGTGTTCCTTGGCACCCAGGACCCGTGGGTACCTTGGCACCCAGGACCTTTGTGTACCTTGGCACCCAGGACCCGTGTGTACCTTGGTACCCAGGACCCGTGTGTACCTTGGCACCCAGGGCCCATATGTACCCCAACACCCACTACTCATGTGTACCCCAGCACCCAGGACCCATGTGTTCCCCAGCACTTAGGACCCATGTGTACCCCAGCACCCACGACTCGTGTGTACCCCAGCACCCAGGACCCATGTGTACCCTAGAACCCAGGACCCATGTGTACCCTAGAACCCAGGACCCGTGTGTACCTTGGCAGCCAGGACCCGTGTGTACCTTGGCACCCAGGACCCATGTGTACCCCAGAACCCAGGACCCGTGTGTACCTTGGCACCCAGGACCCGTGTGTACCCTTGCACCCAGGACCCGTGTGTACCCCGGCACCCAGGATCTGCTGGAACCTGTAAGCCATGCATATAGGTATCCAAGCTTGGTGCAATAGAAGTGTACTTTTGTTGTTCTACTGCTTCCTTTCATCAAAATAAATTGTCCGTAGTTTGTTGAATCTTGTACCAACCCGCAGATCCTGATGTTGCAACTGCTATGTTATGGTCACTGGACATCTTCTGCATTTCTATATCTCTAATTTGTTAATCTGTGCTAGACTCTGTGGTATGCAAATGCCTACATATCTTCTCTGGTTGCAAGTTTTACATCATCAGTTGTAATGTCATTCCCTATTATTCCTACACGACCTGGCACCCAGTTGATAAGTACCCTGCGATCTTGACTGATGAGTGATTGCATTAATAATTTAACATTTTTGATCAGATGGATGTTGTCGAGTAAGTGTTCTTGTTGCAAGGTTTCAATGGCTGTTCTCGAATCTGTATGTATGAAAACATGTCGCCGGTGTAGAGCAAGAGCACGTTCCAGAGTCTCTTGAATGTTTGGTATTTTTGTTTGAAAAGTTGAACATCCGCTTGAGAGTCACCTCGAACTATATAATTTCTTGCATTAACTTTAGCTCAAGACACTTGTCTCTGCTGGATTATTGATCCGTCTGTAAAGTATGTGAAGCTGTCAGATACCAAGTTTGCTTTTATATTCACCTGTGCAATGTTCCATTGCAGATGGGGGTTAATTTGATATTTTTTTCTTCAAGAGCCATAAGCTTTATCTGCTAGCAGGGGACTCCCAAGAGGCTTGCATAACGGAGTCTGCATGATGTCGTCGACAACCGTCTCAGTGACTGTATGTGTGATCTTGAATGAATTGATGGGGGTTTATTGCATAATGAGTCCACCTGTTGCTGTTGGTAGCTCTTCCGTTCCGAGTTAGCGCTCCAGAGATTATATCTTTAAGTAAACTGATTCTTGATCTAGTCAATATCTTGGTAGTATGCAGGCAGCATGCTGACCAAGAAAGACAAAAATGTGATATATATGTTACCAAAATGTTAGTAATATTATTAAAATCCTATAATATTTGGTGGACTCCTAAATCAACAATGGCTCAATAATCTGTTTCAACCTTGGGGGTCCTGGAGAGTGGGGTGTGGAGGACTAACCTTGGTGGTCCTGGAGAGTGAGGTGTGGAGAGCTAACCTTGGTGATCCTGGAGGGTGAGGTGTGGAGGACTAACCTTGGTGGTCCTGGAGAGTGGGGTGAGTGGGGTGTGGAGGACTAACCTTGGTGGTCCTGGAGGGTGGGGTGTGGAGGACTAACCTTGGTGGTCCTGGTGAGTGGGGTGTGGAGGACTAACCTTGGGGGTCCTGGAGGGTGAGGTGTGGAGGACTAACCTTGGGGGTCCTGGAGAGTGAGGTGTGGAGGACTAACCTTGGGGGTCCTGGAGGGTGAGGTGTGGAGGACTAACCTTGGGGGTCCTGGAGGGTGAGGTGTGGAGGACTAACCTTGGGGTCCTGGAGGGTGAGGTGTGGAGGACTAACCTTGGGGGTCCTGGAGGGTGAGGTGTGGAGGACTAACCTTGGGGGTCCTGGAGGGTGAGGTGTGGAGGACTAACCTTGGGGGTCCTGGAGGGTGAGGTGTGGAGGACTAACCTTGAGGGTCCTGGAGGGTGAGGTCAGGACAGTACTGAAGGAGCTGTAACACAGCAGGGGTCATGTCAGACCTGGTCCACCGGAGCATCGCTGTGTCGCCTGCCACACAGATAACATCACTACAACAGTTATCAGTACACATGAGATCAGGATGCTTTTGTTAAACAAATAATTATGATACAAAATTTTAATTAAATGTTTCTTAACAAAATAAATTTTGTAACAGAATCATTAGTAAAAGCGTTAGTAAAATTTCAATATTGTTAAAAAAAATTACGACCTCAGAATGCTTATAAAATATAAATAAGTATGTCATACAAGTTTTTGTTCTTGTTGAAAGTCTGAATACGAGTGCATGTATTATAAAATATTTGATTTCTTATAACAGGAATTACAATACAGATTAGAGAGAATGCGTTCGGATATTGAACGATAACTGACGCTTCGATATGGAAGAGTCGGTCAATGGTGTTTAAGGTACGAACTACGCTCCTCATCTCACTGTGGTCGAGTGCTATGTTAAACCTGCATTTATATATATATATATATATATATATATATATATATATATATATATATATATATATATATATATATATATATATATATACCTTCAATACCCATTGTTTCGTGTTCTATCCTGTGTTAAAAGTTTTGTTCACCTCATCCAAAACTGTTGTAACATATCACCTCACCCAAAATGCAGGTATAAAATGAAAAATGAAAGCTGTTTAAATCATAACATAAGTAAGAACTCTGTTTAGTGTTTGCAGGTAATAGTTGTGTGTGTGTAAACTAAAAGTCTTTGAAAATGTAATAAGTTATTACGAAACGCGTTCAAGTGTCGCGTCAGACTAGAAATAAAAATGAATTTTGGAGAATTTATTTTTCAATTACCATCAACAGTGAAAAGAAACATAAGAAAGATCGAGAAAATTCGTGTTAGAATTATCAATCTTACTTTTTCGGTCATATTTAATAATATATGTCTACAGGTAAGACTGCTACCAAAATATACAAATATTAAAACGCAAGATCCAGCAGCAAGGAATCAAGCCTTCACGATAAAATATTGCCAAGATCTGATTCGTAATCAGATATACAAGGCAGAAAATGAAATCAAAGACAACAAAACGCAACTACTTCATGCTACAAACGAATGGAGAAACAGCAACATCGACGAAAGTCTCCGTACTCGCATCGAGCAACACCTCGATATCCTCACAGACCGACATCACCTCAGCACTGAAACAAGGATAATCAAGAAACTAACAACGTTATATGGAGGACCTATGGCAATTCCACGACCAAGAGACGGCTTCCTGAACCTTGCAGGAATGAACCTCACTGAGGACCAAGTCACTCTCCTAAATCTGGGTATAAACTGTCACATTATGTCCAGACCAAGTGAGATGGCCCGGAAAGTGGAGTTGGAGATTCTGTTGGACGACATATTCGACCTCGAGACACAAAAGAAGGTCACCACTAAAGACACTTTACAAGCAGAACTTATTGCGGAAGGAGGAAAGAATCGAGGCAACTACAGAAGCACCATACTGTCCCACGAGCTCAAAGCGGCAGCTAAGAGCCTTCGTGAGAACAAGGAAATAGTTGTCAGGAGAGGTGACAAGTCGCCAATATGCGTCATTCTTAAAAAAGACGAATATCTGGCGAAAATGAACCTCATTCTCTCAGACCAAACTAAATTCCAAAGGGTAACGAAGGACACTACAGCCGAATTGAAAGCAAAGGTCAACAAATTGATCGAAACTGTGAACGCCAAGAAATCCGGACTCCACCTGCCAAAGATTATTAGGGAATATAAACCTGGATACGGGTATGGAAATGTCAAGACACATGAGCCTGGAAACCCACTTCGGCCAATCATCAGCCAGATACCCACACCCACGTACAGACTGGCGAAACGACTCAACGGCTTGCTGACTCCTTATGTCCCTTGCGCCTTCAGCCTGAAGTCTCAAAAGGATTTGTTGACTTACTGCGGGGAGCCTAAATGCCACGTAGTTACGTTGTTCTACAATGGTGACATGCTGGAGGTCACAGGTTCAAGTCCTGTACGGTCTGCCAGCAAGCCGGTCGGCCGAGCGGACAGCACGCTGGACTTGTGATCCTGTGGTCCTGGGTTCGATCCCAGGCGCCGGCGAGAAACATTGGGCAGAGTTTCTTTCACCCTATGCCCCTGTTACCTAGCGGTAAAATAGGTACCTGGGTGTTAGTCAGCTGTCACGGGCTGCTTCCTGGGGGTGGAGGCCTGGTCGAGGACCGGGCCGTGGGGACACTAAAGCCCCGAAATCATCTCAAGATAACCTCAAGATAACACGGGCCACAGGGATAAAACCCTCATTGGATGTAGAATCACTGTTTACCAATGTACCTGTGGATTTAACAATCGGGTTGATAGCGGACAGTGTGTATCGTGATCCGGCCTGTACTCCTCTTGACATACCAGAAAACATTCTAAGGAAACTACTCCAAGCTTGTACTAAAGAGGCACCCTTCTTGAGCCCGGATGGGCACATGTATAAGCAAGTAGATGGGGTCGCCATGGGTTCTCCCCTAGGTGTCCTGTTTGCGAACTTCTACATGGGTACCATCGAGCAAAAAGTCTTAGTCGACATGAACTTGAAACTGGCCATATACTGCAGATATGTTGACGACATATTTACACAGGTACCTGATGTCAGACATCTGCAGGAGCTGAAGGAGGCCTTTGAGCAGAATTCTGTGTTGCGTTTCACTTACGAGATGGAGAAGGATGGGAAGCTGCCCTTTCTAGATGTAACAGTCATGGAAAGGGGCGGAGGTTTCCACACTGCAGTCTACACTAAGGAAACAAACATAGGAATGTGCCTAAATGCCAACAGTGACTGCCCAGACAGGTACAAGAGGAGTGCTATTAACACTTATGTCGACCATGCTCTCAGCCACAGCTCAGGATGGAAGCAAGTCGACGACGAACTCTGTAGGGTAAGGCAAGTCCTAGTCAACAACGGCTTCTCCAATGGCTTTGTTGAAGACATCATAAGAAGGAAAGTGAAACGCCATGCGACCTCTGAAGAGACAACTAACACAACACCTATAACCCCTATTAGACTATTTTACAGGAACTTCTTTTCCACAGCTCATAAAACGGAGAAAAGGGTCCTGAAAGATATTATTAATAGAAACGTTATCCCTACAGACAAAATTCAGAGGATACAACTGACGATTTACTATAAAACCAGAAAAACGGCCAGCCTACTCATGAGAAACTCTCCAGACACAAAACAGAACGCTTTAAAAGAGACTAACGTCGTCTATGCCTTCAAATGCCCTCTTGGGGACTGTAAGCTCCAAAAAAACCAGTATATAGGCAAGACAACAACATCTCTTTCTAGGCGTTCAACGATGCATAAACAACAGGGCTCCATTAAGGAACATATAATCTCTTCCCACAACCAAACCATCGCCAGAGAAATCCTAGTAAACAACACAGAAATCATCGATAGATACAGCGATAGCAGGCGGCTTGACGTTTGCGAGGCACTACACATCAAGAAGTCAACACCAGCAATCAACAGCCAATTATTGCACAACTATATTCTACCCACCTCAAGACTCCGCTCCAATATAGAAGCATCAAGAAATATGGACCAATAGGCTTTCTACAAACACTTCTATTCAATATCCATTGTTTCGTGTTCTGTCTTGTGTTGATGAAATTAATACCCTATTAATACACTTGTTCTGTCTTGTGTTGATGAAATTAATACCCTATTAATGCCACATCTTGTTCTGTCTTGTGTTAATGCCACATCACCCCTTCCACCTCACTCAAATGTAGATATAAAATCGGAGATGCGTAAGTTCCATTCAGTTGTGTATTTGTGAACTAAAGTCTTTGAAAATGTAATAAGTTTTACGAAACGCGCTCGTGTCGCGTCAGACTAGAAATAAAAATGAATTTTGGAGAATTGATTTTTGATTTACCTCCAACAGTGAAAAGAATGTACGAAAGATTGAGAAAATTCGTGTTAGAATTATTAATCTTACTTTTTCGGTCATATTTAATAATATATGTCTACAGGAAAGACTGCTACCAAAATATACTAATATATATATATATATATATATATATATATATATATATATATATATATATATATATATATATATATATATATATATATATATATATATATATATAGATAAAGCTAAACATCTGGTACCTAAACAAGCGAGCTAAACATCTGGTACCTGGATGGTGGCACTCTAGCTGGAACTCCGGAAACCATTTTGGAGGATATAAGGAAAATCCAGGAGCAGGGAGCAGCCTTAGGCCTCATTCTCAATGCATCCAAATGTGAAATAATCTCCCGCAACCCAGACATCACTGGGCAAATACAAAATGTTCTTCCAGACATTCTCGTTGTCGAGTCACCGGACTGCACTCTCCTGGGTGCCCCCATTAGCCCACGAGCAATCGAGGAGGTCCTGGTTGCAAAAATCACTGACCTAAAGAGAATGCAGGACAGGATTGACAAGATTGATGCCCATGATGCTCTCTTTCTCCTTACAAGATGCCTGTCTCTCCCTAAGTTGACCTACTTTCTGAGATGTTCTCCATCCTACAGCAGCCCTAAGTTAAATGTGTATGACACCCTTCTGAGGTCCATGCTGGTGAAAGTCCTGAACCTGCCATTGGACGACTCTCAGTGGGAGCAAGCAACCCTTCCTGTAAGACTCGGCGGCCTTGGTGTCCTCACAGCCTCCCAAATTGCTCTACCAGCCTTCCTTTCCTCCTCTCATGCATCGCACGACCTCGTCAGAGATATTTTACCTGCAACCCTGAGAGATTCAGCAGGAATACACGATCCTGCTTTCACTGAATGTTCAAATCAGTGGGATGTTCTTGCAGCCCCAGCAACCATTATAGAGCCAACAAAACAACACAAACAGTCCGGCTGGGACCACCCTCTAGTGGAAAAAGTAGCTGATGCCATGCTCAGCGTCGCAACATCAGACAAGGAGAAAGCCCGCCTCAGAGCAGTGCATGCCCCCCATGCAGGAGACTTCCTCCTGGCAGTACCCATGTCAGCAATGGGCACGCGCCTAGATCCAGAATCCCTTCGTGTAGCAGTGGCCCTCCGCCTTGGTGCCCCAATTCACACTGAATACAAGTGTATTTGCAACAGGGTGGAAGCAGACCAATACGGACTGCATGGGTTGCATTGCGGAAGCACAAAGGGCTGGCATGCAAGACACAACGAGGTCAATGACATCATCAAGAGAAGCCTCGTCTCGGCTGGGTGCCCAGCAGAGAGAGAACCTCGCATCCTAGGGGTCCAAAACCCGGATTTCCCCGCACTTCGCTCTGATGGCATCACCATATACTCATGGAAGGAGGGTAGACAGTTGGTGTGGGACTACACATGTGTATCCACCCTGGCTGACACCTATGTACACTTCGGAGCTGATCAAGCAGGTGGGGCGGCCAACCACAGGGAAACAGCAAAATCACTCAAGTACAGGCGACTGGAAGGTCAATACCTCTTTGTTCCCATAGCGTCTGAGACGCATGGCCCCTGGGGCAAGAGTGCCTTGGGATTTCTCAAGGAATTGGGTTCCAAGCTCATTGACGTCACCAGAGACCTAAGGGCTTCCAGTTTTTTATTTCAGCGTCTCAGTGTGGCGATCCAGAGGGGAAATGCTTGCTGCGTCCTCGGTTCCTGTCCAGAAGCGGAGGAGCTTCAAGAGATCCATAACATTTAGGCATTTGTCTTGTATGTTTTGTAACCTTTAAATACACAATAAAGGAAAAAAAAAAAAAAAGAAGGGGGTGGTAGGAGAAAAGCACACAGAAACGGTATTGGAGGGGACCTACATTCCCTCCAATGCGTTATGTGTGGTTTCCTCCGAGGCTATGGGTCCCCCTTCTTCCAGCCAGAGGTGGTACTCCCTTCCCTATTTATAATTATTAAAAAAAAAAAAAAATATATATATATATATATATATATATATATATATATATATATATATATATATATATATATATATATATATATATATATATATATATATATATATATATATATATATATATATATATATATATATATATATATACATTAGGGGTATCACCTCTGGTGCAATTGCAGGGACCCACATCCTCGAAGAAAAAAACAAAGAGCATTCAGAGTAGATCTTGTGGAATCTCACTGAATATTTCATTCTTTTCCTCTCCTACCACCCTATTATTTTTTTTTATTTTTTTTTTATTTTATTGCAATGCTATAGTTTACAGAGAACACACACACACACACACACACACAAGTATATAACAATTAAACAATCAGCGTTCGAAGACCTCGTCCAGCTCCTCGGAGGTTGGGTGCGTACCCAGGATACAGCACGCATTTCCCCTCTGAACTGCAACACTGAGGCGCTGGAACAGGAAACTGGCTGCTCGTGGGTCTCTAGTTTTCCCAATCAGTTCCTCACCCACCTCCTTTAAAAAATTGAGTGCACATTTACCCCAGGCGCCCAGAGTCTCAGAGCCTATCGGCACGAACCTTTTTTTTTTTTTTTTTTGAGATATATACAAGAGTTTTTACATTCTTGTACAGCCACTAGTACGCGTAGCGTTTCGGGCAGGTCCCTGGAATACGATCCCCTGCCGTGAAGAATCGTTTTTTCATCCAAGTACACATTTTACTGTTGCGTTAAACAGAGGCTACAGTTAAGGAATTGCGCCCAGTAAATCCTTCCCGGCCAGCATACGAACTGAGGTGTATACTGAGGTGCAGCGTTAACCTCTAACAACATTCTAGGTCTCTGTACTTGTGGATTTTCTGGGTCTCCATGAAGGTGGCTGCCCCACCTCCCTCCGTTGAGCTGTAACATAAATAGGTATCAGCCAATGTAGATGCACAGGTGTAATCCCATACGACCTGTTTACCTTCCTTCCATGGCTGCAGGGTGACTCCATATATTATATATATATATATATATATATATATATATATATATATATATATATATATATATATATATATATATATATGTCGTACCTAGTAGCCAGAACTCACTTTTTGGCCTACTATTCAAGGCCCGATTTACCTAATAAGCCAAGTTTTCCTGAATTAATATATTTTTTCTAATTTTTTTCTTATGAAATGATAAAGCTACCCATTTCATTATGTATGAGGTCAATTTTTTTTATTGGAGTTAAAATTAACGTAGATATGTGACCGAACCTAACCAACCCTACCTAACCTAACCTAACCTATCTTTATAGGTTAGGTTTGGTTAGGTAGCCGAAAAAGTTAGGTTAGGTTAGGTTAGGTAGGTTAGGTAGTCGAAAAACAATTAATTCATGAAAACTTGGCTTATTAGGCAAATCGGGCCTTTCATAGTAGGCTGAGAAGTGAGTTCTGGCTACTAGGTACGACATATATATATATATATATATATATATATATATATATATATATATATATATATATATATATATATATATATATATATATATGACAATGTCAGACCACGGAGGAAAATGAAACAGGAATTTCCTTAAGTACTTTCGTATATTAAATACATCTTCAGGAATGATCTGATCATTCCTTCTGAAGATGTATTTAATATACGAAAGTACTTAAGGAAATTCCTGTTTCATTTTCCTCCGTGGTCTGACATTGTCACATTCTTAATCACGTGTTTATTTTCGTGATTTACACACACTTATATATATATATATATATATATATATATATATATATATATATATATATATATATATATATATATATATATATATATATATATATGTCGTACCTAGTAGCCAGAACTCACTTCTCAGCCTACTATTCAAGGCCCGATTTGCCTAATAAGCCAAGTTTTCCTGAATTAATATATTTACCATAATTTTTTTCTTATGAAATGATAAAGCAACCCTTTTCTCTATGTATGAGGTCAATTTTTTTTTATTGGAGTTAAAATTAACGTAGATATATGACCGAACCTAACCAACCCTACCTAACCTAACCTAACCTATATTTATAGGTAAGGTTAGGTTAGGTAGCCAAAAAAAGCTAGGTTAGGTTAGGTTAGGTAGGTTAGGTAGACGAAAAAACATTAATTCATGAAAACTTGGCTTATTAGGCAAATCGGGCCTTGAATAGTAGGCTGAGAAGTGCGTTCTGGCTATTAGGTACGACATATATATATATATATATATATATATATATATATATATATATATATATATATGTATATATATGTCGTACCTAGTAGCCAGAACGTCGAACTTGGCCTACTATGCAAGGCCCGATTTGCCTAATAAGCCAAGTTTTCCTGAATTAATATATTTTCTCTAATATTTTTCTTATGAAATGATAAATCTTCCCATTTCATTATGTATGAGGTCAATTTTTTTTTATTGGAGTTAAAATTAACGTAGATATATGACCGAACCAACCAACCCTACCTAACCTAACCTAATCTATCTTTATAGGTTAGGTTAGGTAGCCGAAAAAGTTAGGTTAGGTTAGGTTAGGTTGGTTAGGTAGTCGAAAAACAATTAATTCATAAAAACTTGGCTTATTAGGCAAATCGGGCCTTGCATAGTAGGCTGAGAAGTGCGTTCTGGCTACTAGGTACGATATATATATATATATATATATATATATATATATATATATATATATATATATATATATATATATATATATATATATATATATATATATATATATGTCGTACCTAGTAGCCAGAACACACTTCTCAGCCTACTATGCAAGGCCCGATTTGCCTAATAAGCCAAGTTTTCAAGAAATAATTGTTTTTCGACTACCTAACCTACCTAACCTAACCTAACCTAACTTTTTCGGCTACCTAACCGAACCTAGCCTATAGAGATAGGTTAGGTTAGGTTAGGTAGGGTTGGTTAGGTTCGGTCAAATATCTACGTTAATTTTAATTCCAATAACAAAAAATTGACCTCATACATAATGAAATGGGTAGCTTTATCATTTCATAAGAAAAAAATTAGAAAAAATCTATTAATTCAGGAAAACTTGGCTTATTAAGCAAATCGGGCCTTGCATAGTAGGCTGAGAAGTGCGTTCTGGCTACTAGGTACATATATATATATATATATATATATATATATATATATATATATATATATATATATATATATATATATATATATTTTAATATAGTTTGTGAGGGTACCACCTCTGGTGCCAATGTGGGGACCCATAGCCTCGGAGAAGAAAATAAAAAGTATTCAGAGGAGACCTTGTGGTTTCTCACTGAACACTAATATTATCTTCTCCTACCACCCCCATTCTTTTGTATATATATATATATATATATATATATATATATATATATATATATATATATATATATATATATATATATATATATATATATATATATATATACACATATATATATGTATATTTATATTCCGTGTTGATTATTTTAATTTTTCGTTTAGTTATATTGTTTGGTGGAGAAAGCAACACAACCCATCTCATGTAATGAAGTCATCGAATCTCAGAATTTTTTTGAAATGTTGTCTTGTGAGAGGTGTTTGGCTCCTCGCCTAACGTATACAACCATTCACTAAACCTGTTTGATTAATTTACCATAAATATTATTATCTAAAACGATTGGGTTAACTCACCAGCATTGTCGAGTACGTCGAGGTCTTGAGGGTACTCCAGGAGCTTCGTCAGTATTGTCGCTGATCCGCTGGAGCCCGCCAGCATCAACGCTGAAGTTCCATCTGTCAACAATTGTTAATAGAAGCTGGAAAGTAGTTTGGGGGTGAGAAGTGTGTGGGGGTGAACAGGGTGTGGGGGGGTAAGCAGTGTGACAGGTGAGCAGTGTACTCACCTAGTTGCACGCACCTAATTGTGCGTGCGGGGGTTAAGCTTTGGCTCTTTAGTCTCGGCTCTCAACTGTATATCTACTGGTGTACAGATTCCTGAGTTTTTCAAGCTCCATCATATCTACATTTGAAACTGTGTATGGAGTCAGCCTCAACCACATCACTGACTAGTCCATTCCATTTACTAATTACTCTGACACCGAAAAAGTTCTTTCTAACGTCTTTCTGGCTTATTTGGGTACTCAGTTTCCACTTGTGTTCCCCTGTGCGTGTACCACCCGTGTTAAATTATCCATCCTTGACTACCCTGTCAATTCCCCTGAGAATTTTGTATGTGGTGATAATGTCTCACGAGGTCCTTCTGTCTTTCAGCGACGTGAAGTGCAGTTCCATCAGCCTTTCCTCGTAACTCATGCCTCTTGGTTCTGGGACTAGCCTAGTAGCATACCTCTGACCTTTTGCAGCTTCGTCTTGTGCTTGACAAGGTACGGGCTCCATGCTGGGGCCGCATACTCCAGGATCGGCCTTACATACGTGGTATACAAGGTCCTGAAAGAATCCTTACACAGGTTCTAGAAGGCAGTTCTGATGTTAGCCAGCCTTGCACACGCCGCCGATGTTATTCTTTTGATGTGGGCTTCAGGAGACAGGTTTGATGTAATATGAACTCCTAGAACTTTCTCACTGTCCGTTTCGGGAAGGTCTTCATCTTTCAATCGGTATCCAGTATCTGGTCTCCTATTTCCTCTATCTAGTTTCATTACCTTAAATTTACTCGGGTTGAACTTTAGTAGTCATTTGTTGGACCATTCCTTCAATTTGTCTAGGTCATCTTGTAGCCCCATACTATCTTCCTCTGTCTTAATCCTCCTCATAATTTTTGCATCATCATCAAACAATGAGAGGAACGAGTCTATTCCCTCTGGGAATAGAGTGTGTGCAGGGGTGAGCAGTGTGTGTGGGTTGAACAGTGTGTGAATTTGAGCAGTGTGGGGGTGAGCAATGTGAGGGTGAGCAGTGTGGGGGGTGAGCAGTGTGTGAGTGAGTAGTGTGTGGGTGAGCAGTGTGTGGGGGTGAGGAGTGTGGGGGTTAGGAATATGTGGAGGTGAGCGGTGTGTGGGTGAGCAGTGTGTGGGGATGAGAAGTGTGTGTGGGGGGGTGAGCAGTGTGGGGGGTCCCTGGGGATGGTGGGTGTGGGGCATCGGGTCTTGCTTGGCTCTAACAGAAGGTAATTCATATTTTTTGTCGTAAATATTGTGTTAAAGGACTAGAGTTAAAGAACAGTCAGTCTGGGTTGAGGTCACTGTTGTTAAAGCACGATAATACGTTTGGGCCAAATTGAAGTGTGAAACCATTGCATCCATGCAAGACTTTCCTTAACTCTTTCAAGTCATAAGGGTACATAAAGCCTATACTAAAAAACAGTGGCCCTGTCGTATGCATGTTGCAACAGCAGTTCAGCCAGACTTAAAAACTAAGAACAGGCCAGGAGGCCAGGAGTTGAACTTGGTTGTCAGAGGCTATTGGAGACGCATGCCGTACGGGAACTTTTTATAAGTCATGGGTGCCGGTCCCTCATTACCCCCCTCCCATGGCCATGACAACCCCTTGGAACCCCTTAAATTTCCTGGGACCCCTTGGAACCTCTTGGAACAACAAGACCAACAACTACTGCATTAAGAAACAACATAACTAACAACTAATACAATAAGCATGCACCTCACTAACAACTACTACAACAGCAACAAAATCACCTATAACTACTAAAATAAGCAACAACATCACCCACAACTACTACAGTAAGCAACAATACCCATAACTACGGCAATAAGCAATAGCATCACACACCACTACTGTAATTGCAAAAGCTTAAATTGCATTCCCTGGAAAAGCGAAGAGTTAGGGGTGACATGATAGAGGTTTACAAGTGGATGAATGGACATAACAAAGGAGATATTAATGGAGTATTAAAAGTATCAACACAAGACAGAACGCGAAACAATAGGTATAAATTGGATAAGTTTAGATTTAGGAAAGACTTGGGTAAATACTGGTTCAGTAACAGGGTTGTTGATTTGTGGAACCAATTACCACGAACCGTCGTGGAGGTGGGGTCCCTCGATTGTTTCAAGCGTGGGTTGGATATGTATATGAGTGGGATTGGGTGGTTATAAATAGGAGCTGCCTCGTATCAATGGCATTGCATATAACCATGCAATGCCATTGCATTGCATAGTTATATCCATTCTATAGTACAGCGACCAAAACTGAACTGCATAATCTAAATGGGGCCTAGCCAGAGCAAGATATAGCTGAAGAACAACACCAGGTGTCTTGTTGCTAACGCTTCGATTAATAAATCCGAGTGTCCGATTTGCCTTATTACGAACATTCATGCATTGATCCTTTTGTTTTAAATTCTTACTAATCATAACTCCCAGATCCCTTTCGCAATCCGACTTCGCAATCTCAACACCATCTAGCTCGTATCTTGTAACTCTATCCTCATTACCTAGCCTCAAAACTTTACATTTATCAGCATTAAGCTGCATCTGCCAATCTTTTGACCATTTCAAAACCCTATTTAGATTAACTTGAAGTGATAGTGAGTCTTCTTCCGTGTTAATTTCCCTGCCGATTTTTGTATCATCGGCAAATTTGCAAATGTTGCTACTCAAACCTGAATCTAAATCATTTATATATATTATAAACAACAGAGGTCCCAGGACAGAGCCTTGAGGCACTCCACTAACAACATTATCACACTCTGACTTTACGCCATTTATACTAACTCTCTGTTTCCTTTGGAATAGCCACTCCCTAATCCAACTTAATATAGCACCCCCAATACCATGAGCCTCTATTTTTTTTAATCAGTCTTTCATGTGGCACTGTATCAATAGGCAAGAACAACACCCACTAGAACTACACTAAGCAACATCACCCACAACTACTACAATAAGCATCAACGTCACCCACAACAACTACAGAAAACAAAAACATCATCCATCACTAGTACATAGGCAACATCACCCGTCACAACTACAATAAGAAAGAACAACACCCACAACTACTAATAAGCAACAATAAGCACCAACATCTCCCACAACTACAATAAGCAACAACGTTACCTAAAACTACTACAATAAGCAACATCACCCCTCCACTCCTACAATAAGCAACAACATCACCCCACCACTCGTACTATAAGTAACAACATCACCCAAAACTTCTACAATAAGCAATATCACCCACCACTTCTACAATAAGCAACAACAACACCCACAACTGCAACAATAAGCAACAACAACGGGTGTGTACGTACCATTATCCTGTAAGTTGACATCGCTCCCTGATTTCAATAAGTTTTCCATGGCCTCTACATTCTTGTTCCGTATCGTATACATTAACGGTGTCATGCCTGAGGGAGAAATGACATGGGAAATGTTATATTATGGCTGGAAGAATGATATTATGGCTGGAAATGGGAACATACTATTTGTATTAGTGCCTAAGAAATGAAGTATGATGAGCTAGGAATGAGACCCTAATGCAGAGGTTTAAGACAGTCATAGATTTAGAAGCACTGGAGGGATTCCGATCACATGTAGGACTCTTCCAATAATGGCAGATGGAAACGAATGGTTGTGTAGAGCACTTGGTATTAATTGCTTACTGAACAAATATTGAAAATGAAATGTAATATCATTCAATGATGATTAGGAACGTTTCTGGGAAAGGAATGATATGTATGCTTGAGATGGGGGTTCATTTATGGTTCAACAACCCTAACCCCAGATGGGCTGGGGTTGTTGAGGTTGCCAACTTGTTGGAATCTGTGGTTGGAGGGGTTTGTTTGGGTTTAAACTGTCAGTAGATAGTTGCATGGGAATGGATATGGGAAAAGGAGACACTAAAAGTATGTGCAGGTGGGGGAAAAAGAATTTGTTTACAAGGAAGGAGAAGGGCCTCACAATTGCAAGACACTGAAGGTAAATTACACTGACAATAGGAGCCTAAAAAATAAAATAAACGATTTAAATGTTTTTGTCTACAAGGAAACAGTTATTATTGCAATTACCGAAACATGGATGAATATAGAAAACAGGGGACTATTTGCTGAGTATCAAATAAACGGATTTAAACTATTTCATACAGATAGACATATTAGACGAGGAGGAGGATTAACAATACATCTCAGTGAAAATTAAAATGCTGTGTCGAAGAAGGAATCTAATCTGAGCCACATACACACAGAAACTATTTGGTTAGAATTAAACGAAAAAGGACAAAACTATAATAATATGAGTTATATATAAGCCACCAAACTTGGACAAAATGGAAGCAGAGCATATATGGGAAGAAATATCTAGAGCACCTAGGTCAAACAGTATTTGTATCGTTGGTAACTTTACTTTTAGTGGAATAAACTGGTTTAACAAAACATAGACAACTGAAGCAGAAGATTTTGTTGAATTAATTGACGTTTGCTTCGTTAAGCAACACATTAAGGAACCAACGCAGGAAAATTATATTTTAGACTCGGTGTTAACTAACAGGGAGACACAAATTAATGACATCGAAACAAGGAGTGAGCTAGGGAAAGATCACAATGGAATCAGATTTAGCATAGAATGGAATAATTTGTAAGAGAGAATTCTGTTAAAGTGCCAGATTTCCGAAAAGCTGTTTTTAATGAACTCGAAATGTTTTGGGTGTAATAAATGGGAAAATCCTGGGCATGGGGCGTAGACCGGTCTTGGAGCTAAACGTGAACCTAGCGTTGGGTGACGTAGCAAGGGATTACAATGTGGATTCAAAATATAAAATATTTAAAAAATTCAAATCAAAGCCCAAAACCTAGTATACCATATCAATTGATTAGATCGAATAACAATATCCCCCAAATGAATACCTATGGGTATGAAAAAGCCGTCTCTTGGTCGTGGAATTGCCCATAGGTCCTCCATATAACATTATAACCGAAACCAGGATAATCAAGAAACTAATAACGTTATATGGAGGACCTATGGCAATTCCACGACCAAGAGACGGCTTCCTGAACCTTGCAGGAATCAACCTCACTGAGGACCAAGTCACTCTCCTAAATCTGGGCATAATCTGTCACGTTATGTCCAGACCGAGTGAGATGGCCCGGAAAGTAGAGTTGGAAATTCTGTTGGACGACATATTCGACCTCGAGACACAAAAGAAGGTCACTACCAAAGATACCTTACAAGCAGAACTTATTGCCATATACTGCCATATACGGTTTCAAGCAGAACTTGAAACCGGCCATATACTGCCGGTATGCTGACGACATTTTTACACATGTACCTGATGTCAGACATCTGCAGGAGCTGAAGGAGGCATTTGAGCAGAATTTTGTGTTGCGTTTCACTTACGAGATGGAGAAGGATGGGAAGCTGCCCTTTCTAGATGTAACAGTCATGGAAAGGAGCGGAGGTTTCCACACTGCAGTCTACACTAAGGAAACAAACATAGGAATGTGCCTCAATGCCAACAGTGACTGCCCAGACAGGTACAAGAGGAGTGTTGTTAACGCTCATGTCGACCGTGCTCTCAGCCACAGCTCAGGATGGAAGCAAGTCGATGAAGAACTCTGTAGGGTAAGGCAGGTCCTAGTCAACAATGGGTTCTCCAATGGTTTCATCGAAGACATCATAAGAAGGAAAGTGAAATGCCATGCAACCTCTGAAGAGACAACTTACACAACACCTATACCCCCTATTAGACTATTTTACAGGAACTTCTTTTCCACAGCTCATAAAACGGAGGAAAGGGTCCTGAAAGATATTGTTAATAGAAACGTTATCCCTACAGACAAAAATCAGAGGATATAACTGACGATTTACTATAAAACCAGAAAAACGGCCAGCCTACTCATGAGAAACTCTCCAGACACAAAGCAGAACGCTTTAAAAGAGACCAACGTCGTCTATGCCTTCAAATGCCCACTTGGGGACTGTAAGCTCCAAAAAAACCAGTATATAGGCAAGACAACAACATCTCTTTCTAGGCGTTTAACGATGCATAAGCAACAGGGCTCCATTAAGGAACATATAATCTCTTCCCACAACCAAACCATCGCCAAAGAAATCCTAGTAAACAACACAGAAATCATCGATAGATACAGCGATAGCAGACGGCTTGACGTTTGCGAGGCACTGCACATTAAGAAGTCAACACCAGCAATCAACAGCCAATTAATGCACAACTATATTCTACCCACCTCAAGACTCCGCTCCAATATAGAAGCATCAAGAAATATGGACCAATAGGCTTTCTACAATCACTTCCATTTCAATACCCATTGTTTCCTGTTCTGTCTTGTGTTGATGAAATTAATACCCTATTAAATACCACCTCACCCCATCCACCTCACTCAAATGTAGATATAAACAAATCGGAGATGTGAAAAAGTAAGATTAATAATTCTAACACGAATTTTCTCAATCTTTCGTACATTTCTTTTCACTGTTGGTGGTAATTCAAAAATCAATTCTCCAAAATTCATTTTTATTTCAAGTCTGACGCGACACTTGAGCGCGTTTCGTAAAACATATTACATTTTCAAAGACTTTAGTTAACACATACACAACTGAATAGAACTTACACATCTAAGATTTGTTTATATCAACATTTGAGTGAGGTGGATGGGGTGAGGTGGTATTTAATAGGGTATTAATTTCATCAACACAAGACAGAACACGAAACAATGGGTATTGAATGGAAGTGATTGTAGAAAGCCTATTGGTCCATATTTCTTGATGCTTCTATATTGGAGCGGAGTCTTGAGGTGGGTAGAATATAGTTGTGCATTAGTTGGCTGTTGATTGCTGGTGTTGACTTTTTAATGTGTAGTGCCTCGCAAACGTCAAGCCGTCTGTTATCGCTGTATCTATCGATGATTTCTGTGTTGTTTACAAGGATTTCTCTGGCGATGGTTTGGTTGTGGGAAGAGATTATATGTTCCTTAATGGAGCCCTGTTGCTTAAAGTCTTTGAAAATGTAATAAGTTTTACGAAACGCTCTCAAGTGTCGCGTCAGACTTGAAATAAAAATGAATTTTGGAGAATTGATTTTTGAATTACCACCAACAGTGAAAAGAAATGTACGAAAGATTGAGAAAATTCGTGTTAGAATTATTAATCTTACTTTTTCGGTCATATTTAATAATATATATATATATATATATATATATATATATATATATATATATATATATATGTATATATATATATATATATATATATATATATATATATATATATATATATATATATATATATATATATATATATATATATATATATATATATATATATATATATATATATATGTATATGTATATATATATATATGTATATGTATATATATATATATATATATATATATATATATATATATATATATATATATATATATATATATATTTATATTATGAATAACACAATTATTTTATATAATTACCTCTCTCATTCCAGGTCTAAATTATTTACATTTGAATATATTTACACGTAACCAACAATCTCCACAAGTGCCCAAGGCGAGACTCACTCCTGGTCATCTCAACACAGTGCAGACAGTGATGAACACACGCCAACGTTTGATCTGACACTCACTACATAGCTTCATAAGCCAGACAGGATCACAGCAGCCCGGGCCTGCATTACTGCTGGGGGACTAAGATGGTGCAAGGGAAGGCTCCTGCAGGTGTGGGGTGACTGTGCGGGTACCCACCTGTACCGTCGTGGACGTCCAGGTGCGCCCCAAGGTTCACCAGGGCTGAAAGAACCTTATCCTTGTTTAAACGAGCTGCTGCTGTCAGGGCCAATTCACCTGTGGAGGAAGAGAACGGAAAAGATATTAACTCCATCACCAATACTCATCATTCGCTCTTCAACTCAAATATATCTCTACAAGTTAGCCGTTCCTCGGAAAACATTTCTTTCTCAAGAGTATTTCTTTCCTCCTTAAAAAATTCTTCCTCCAGTATTTCTTCCTCTCAGTATTTCGTCCCTCAAGTATTTCTTCGACAACACTTAAGTAATCATATGTGACTGTCAGATGGGAGCAATGAGACCGTGAACAACTTCGAGAGTGGCACTCACATAGTTCAGGCATTAATTAACAAATATTGGCATGATTAAACTTGCCACTCACAAATACCATTCAGTCAACATTATCACCGTCTCCCACTACAATACCTAGAACACTTAGCACGTCACTCCACAATACCTAGAACACTGATCACATCACTCTACAATACCTAGAACACTGATCACGTCACTCTACAATACCTGGAACACTGATCATGTCATTCTACAATACCTAGAACACTGATCACGTCACTCTACAATACCTGGAACACTGATCATGTCACTCTACAATACCTAGAACACTGATCACGTCACTCTACAATACCTGGAACACTGATCATGTCACTCTACAATACCTAGAACACTGATCATGTCACTCTACAATACCTAGAACACTGATCACGTCACTCTACAATACCTAGAACACTGATCACGTCACTCTACAATACCTAGAACACTGATCACGTCACTCTACAATACCTGGAACACTGATCATGTCACTCTACAATACCTAGAACATTGATTACGTCACTCTACAATACCTGGAACACTGATCACGTCACTCTACAATACCTAGAACACTGATCATGTCACTCAACAATACCTGGAACACTGATCATGTCATTCTACAATACCTAGAACACTGATCACGTCACTCTACAATACCTGGAACACTGATCATGTCACTCTACAATACCTAGAACATTGATTACGTCACTCTACAATACCTGGAACACTGATCACGTCACTCTACAATACCTAGAACATTGATTACGTCACTCTACAATACCTGGAACACTGATCACGTCACTCTACAATACCTAGAACACTGATCACGTCACTCTACAATACCTAGAACACTGATCACGTCACTCTACAATACCTGGAACACTGATCATGTCACTCTACAATACCTAGAACATTGATTACGTCACTCTACAATACCTGGAACACTGATCACATCACTCTACAATACCTGGAACAATGATCACGTCACTCTACAATACCTAGAATACTGATCATGTCACTCAACAATACCTGGAACAATTAAAAGCCAAATAGACAGCAATGTTATTTCTGAAAGAAAGAATGTGATTGAATTTAATAAGACACAAGTAGCGAATATTAAAGCACTTTTAGCAGCTATATTCCCTAAATGATGCAACAGTCAACTGGTGTACTGATTCCACAGTACATTGTGTTCAGTACCTCGGGCATTATCTTCGTCTGTTGAAGGAGGCGGGTAAGACGAGGTGCAGCTGGGCCAACCCGTCCTCTTGATAAAACGTCATATTTTGCCGTATACTCTCCCTAAGGCCAAAAATTGTCGTTCTGGAAAATGGTATCGGCTTGCGAAATTGACATACTGTCCTGTTTTATGTTTTGGATCCTCTGGTAGGTTAGGATAAGGGCACTTAGTACGACAGTTCTTGTAGTTCGGAAATCTTAGGAGGACGGACTGGCTGATCAGGGATATGTTGAGGTGTGATACTGGTCAGGGAGGTGTTGAGGTGTGCTGTTCGTCAGGGATGTGATGTGGTGTGCTGCTCGTCAGGGATGTGTTGAGGTGTGCTGCTCGTCAGGGATGTGTTGAGGTGTGATGCTGTCCAGGGATGTGATGAGGTGTGATGCTGGTCAGGGATGTATTGAGGTGTGATGCTGTCCAGGGATGTGTTGAGGTGTGATGCTGGTCAGGGATGTGTTGAGGTATACTGCTGGTCAGGGATGTGTTGAGGTATACTGCTGGTCAGGGGTATACTGTGTGAACACCAAGGTGCAGACCCGCGTGATGTCAGCTGAGGACACCAACAACAACAACACCTTACCAGAGGGGGTGGCGTACTCCAGGTCGACGCCCTTCTCCCGGAGGTACTTCACTCCATTCACAAAGTTCGCTGCCGTAGCCACCAGGTGCGGTGTGTACCCTGCAAAATATACCTCTCATCAGGCTGTACCTGTTTACACCTCCAGGAACAATATATATTTACCCATAAGCTCCTTATACATTAATGTATTTTGCATGTGTAATAAACTAAAATGGGAAACCTAGCGAAGCCTGGAGAAGTTACCTCTCACTTGCGTATTTAGGCAAGTCAATGTGTGTGAATAGAGACACAAGTTTCACCATCATAGAGACACAAGACACACGACACACGACACAGACACGAGACAGACACAGACACAGACACACAACAGAGACACAAGTTACACCATCAACTGATTTAGAAATGGCAAATGAATTTAATAGCTCTTTTTCATCGGTTGGTGCTAACCTTGCCAGTAAAATCCCACAGACTCAGACACATATCAACACATATCTCTCAGGTAGCTATCCAAACTCTCTTCTCCTTTCACCAGTCAAATATGAGGTAATTTTTTTTTATTGGAGTTAAAATTAACGTAGATATATGACCGAACATAACCAACCCTACCTAACCTATCTTTATAGGTTAGGTTAGGTTAGGTAGCCGAAAAAGTCAGGTTAGGTTAGGTTAGGTAGGTTAGGTAGTCGAAAAACAATTAATTCATGAAAACTTGGCTTATTAGGCAAATTGGGCCTTGCATAGTAGGCTGAGAAGTGCGTTCTGGCTACTAGGTACGACATATATATATATATATATATATATATATATATATATATATATATATATATATATATATATATATATATATATATATATATATATATTATTTATATATATATATCTTTTCACTGTTGGAGGTAAATCAAAAATCAATTCTCCAAAATTCATTTTTATTTCTAGTCTGACGCGACACGAGCGCGTTTCGTAAAACTTATTACATTTTCAAAGACTTTAGTTCACAAATACACAACTGAATAGAACTTACGCATCTCCGATTTTATATCTACATTTGAGTGAGGTGGAAGGGGTGATGTGGCATTAACACAAGACAGAACAAGATGTGGCATTAATAGGGTATTAATTTCATCAACACAAGACAGAACAAGAAGTGGTATTAATAGGGTATTAATTTCATCAACACAAGACAGAACAAGAAACAATGGATATTGAATAGAAGTCTTTGTAGAAAGCCTATTGGTCCATATTTCTTGATGCTTCTATATTGGAGCGGAGTCTTGAGGTGGGTAGAATATAGTTGTGCAATAATTGGCTGTTGATTGCTGGTGTTGACTTCTTGATGTGTAGTGCCTCGCAAACGTCAAGCCGCCTGCTATCGCTGTATCTATCGATGATTTCTGTGTTGTTTACTAGGATTTCTCTGGCGATGGTTTGGTTGTGGGAAGAGATTATATGTTCCTTAATGGAGCCCTGTTGCTTATGCATCGTTAAACGCCTAGAAAGAGATGTTGTTGTCTTGCCTATATACTGGGTTTTTTGGAGCTTACAGTCCCCAAGAGGGCATTTGAAGGCATAGACGACGTTAGTCTCTTTTAAAGCGTTCTGTTTTGTGTCTGGAGAGTTTCTCATGAGTAGGCTGGCCGTTTATCTGGTTTTATAGTAAATCGTCAGTTGTATCCTCTGATTTTTGTCTGTAGGTATAACGTTTCTATTAACAATATCTTTCAGGACCCTTTCCTCCGTTTTATGAGCTGTGAAAAAGAAGTTCCTGTAAAATAGTCTAATAGGGGGTATAGGTGTTGTGTTAGTTGTCTCTTCAGAGGTTGCATGGCTTTTCACTTTCCTTCTTATGATGTCTTCGACGAAACCATTGGAGAAGCCGTTATTGACTAGGACCTGCCTTACCCTACAGAGTTCTTCGTCGACTTGCTTCCATTCTGAGCTGTGGCTGAGAGCACGGTCGACATATGCGTTAACAACACTCCTCTTGTACCTGTCTGGGCAGTCGCTGTTGGCATTTAGGCACATTCCTATGTTTGTTTCCTTAGTGTAGACTGCAGTGTGGAAACCTCCGCCCTTTTCCATGACTGTTACATCTAGAAAGGGCAGCTTCCCATCCTTTTCAATCTCGTAAGTGAAACGCAGCACGGAACTCTGCTCAAATGCCTCCTTCAGCTCCTGCAGATGTCTGACATCAGGTACCTGTGTAAAAATGTCGTCAACATACCTGCAGTATATGGCCGGTTTCAAGTTCATGTCGACTAAGACTTTTTGCTCGATGGTACCCATGTAGAAGTTTGCAAACAGGACACCTAGGGGAGAACCCATGGCGACCCCATCTACTTGCTTATACATGTGCCCATCCGGGCTCAAGAAGGGTGCCTCTTTAGTACAAGCTTGGAGTAGTTTCCTCAGAATATTTTCTGGTATGTCAAGAGGAGTACAGGCTGGATCACGATACACTCTGTCGGCTATCATTCCGATTGTCTCGTCCACAGGTACGTTGGTAAACAGCGATTCTACGTCCAACGAGGCTCTTATCCCTGTGGCCCGTGTGCCCCGCAGTAAGTCAACAAATTCCTTTGGAGACTTCAGGCTGAAGGCGCAAGGAACATAAGGAGTCAGCAGGCCGTTGAGTCGCTTCGCCAGTCTGTACGTGGGTGTGGGTATCTGGCTAATGATTGGCCGAAGTGGGTTTCCAGGCTTGTGTGTCTTGACATTTCCATACGCATATCCAGGTTTATATTCCCCAATGATCTTTGGCAGGTGGAGTCCGGATTTCTTGGCGTTCACAGTTTCGATCAGTTTGTTGACCTTTGCTTTTAATTCGGCTGTAGTGTCCTTCGTTACCCTTTGGAACTTAGTTTGGTCAGAGAGTATGATGTTCATTTTCGCCAGATATTCGTCTTTTTTAAGAATGACATATATTGGCGACTTGTCACCTCTCCTGACAACTATCTCCTTGTTCTCACGAAGGCTTTTAGCTGCCGCTTTAAGCTCGGGGGACATTATGGTGCTTCTGTAGTTGCCTCGATTCTTTCCTCCTTCTGCAATAAGTTCTGCTTGTAAGGTATCTTTGGTAGTGACCTTCTTTTGTGTCTCGAGGTCGAATATGTCGTCCAACAGAATTTCCACCTCTACTTTCCGGGGACTACTTACAATTCCACGACCAAGAGATGGCTTCCTGAACCTTGCAGGAATTAACCTCACTGAGGACCAAGTCACTCTCCTAAATCTGGGCATAAACTGTCATGTTATGTCCAGACCGAGTGAGATGGCCCGGAAAGTAGAGGTGGAAATTCTGTTGAACGACATATTCGACCTCGAGACACAAAAGGTCACTACCAAAGATACCTTACAAGCAGAACTTATTGCAGAAGGAGGAAAGAATCGAGGCAACTACAGAAGCACCATACTGTCCCCCGAGCTTAAAGCGGCAGCTAAAAGCCTTCGTGAGAACAAGGAGATAGTTGTCAGGAGAGGTGACAAGTCGCCAATATATGTCATTCTTAAAAAAGACGAATATCTTGCGAAAATGAACATCATACTCTCTGACCAAACTAAGTTCCAAAGGGTAACGAAGGACACTACAGCCGAATTAAAAGCAAAGGTCAACAAACTGATCGAAACTGTGAACGCCAAGAAATCCGGACTCCACCTGCCAAAGATCATTGGGGAATATAAACCTGGATATGCGTATGGAAATGTCAAGACACACAAGCCTGGAAACCCACTTCGGCCAATCATTAGCCAGATACCCACACCCACGTACAGACTGGCGAAGCGACTCAACGGCCTGCTGACTCCTTATGTTCCTTGCGCCTTCAGCCTGAAGTCTCCAAAGGAATTTGTTGACTTACTGTGGGGCACACGGGCCACAGGGATAAGAGCCTCGTTGGACGTAGAATCGCTGTTTACCAACGTACCTGTGGACGAGACAATCGGAATGATAGCCGACAGAGTGTATCGTGATCCAGCCTGTACTCCTCTTGACATACCAGAAAATATTCTGAGGAAACTACTCCAAGCTTGTACTAAAGAGGCACCCTTCTTGAGCCCGGATGGGCACATGTATAAGCAAGTAGATGGGGTCGCCATGGGTTCTCCCCTAGGTGTCCTGTTTGCAAACTTCTACATGGGTATTATCGAGCAAAAAGTCTTAGTCGACATGAACTTGAAACCGGCCATATACTGCAGGTATGTTGACGACATTTTTACACAGGTACCTGATGTCAGACATCTGCAGGAGCTGAAGGAGGCATTTGAGCAGAGTTCCGTGCTGCGTTTCACTTACGAGATGGAAAAGGATGGGAAGCTGCCCTTTCTAGATGTAACAGTCATGGAAAAGGGCGGAGGTTTCCACACTGCAGACTACACTAAGGAAACAAACATAGGAATGTGCCTAAATGCCAACAGCGACTGCCCAGACAGGTACAAGAGGAGTGTTGTTAACGCATATGTCGACCGTGCTCTCAGCCACAGCTCAGAATGGAAGCAAGTCGACGAAGAACTCTGTAGGGTAAGGCAGGTCCTAGTCAATAACGGCTTCTCCAATGGTTTCGTCGAAGACATCATAAGAAGGAAAGTGAAAAGCCATGCAACCTCTGAAGAGACAACTAACACAACACCTATACCCCCTATTAGACTATTTTACAGGAACTTCTTTTCCACAGCTGATAAAACGGAGGAAAGGGTCCTGAAAGATATTGTTAAAAGAAACGTTATCCCTACAGACAAAAATCAGAGGATACAACTGACGATTTACTATAAAACCAGAAAAACGGCCAGCCTACTCATGAGAAACTCTCCAGACACAAAACAGAACACTTTAAAAGAGACTAACGTCGTCTATGCCTTCAAATGCCCTCTTGGGGACTGTAAGCTCCAAAAAAAACAGTATAGAGGCAAGACAACAACATCTCTTTCTAGGCGTTTAACGATGCATAAGCAACAGGGCTCCATTAAGGAACATATAATCTCTTCCCACAACCAAACCATCGCCAGAGAAATCCTAGTAAACAACACAGAAATCATCGATAGATACAGCGATAGCAGGCGGCTTGACGTTTGCGAGGCACTACACATCAAGAAGTCAACACCAGCAATCAACAGCCAATTATTGCACAACTATATTCTACCCTCTTCAAGACTCCGCTCCAATATAGAAGCATCAAGAAATATGGACCAATAGGCTTTCTACAAACACTTCTATTCAATATCCATTGTTTCGTGTTCTGTCTTGTGTTGATGAAATTATTACCCTATTAATACCACTTCTTGTTCTGTCTTGTGTTGATGAAATTAATACCCTATTAATGCCACATCTTGTTCTGTCTTGTGTTAATGCCACATCACTCCTTCCACCTCACTCAAATGTAGATATAAAATCGGAGATGCGTAAGTTCTATTCAGTTGTGTATTTGTGAACTAAAGTCTTTGGAAATGTAATAAGTTTTACGAAACGCGCTCGTGTCGCGTCGGACTAGAAATAAAAATGAATTTTGGAGAATTGATTTTTGATTTACCTCCAACAGTGAAAAGAAATGTACGAAAGATTGAGAAAATTCGTGTTAGAATTATTAATCTTACTTTTTCGGTCATATTTAATAATGTATGTCTACAGGAAAGACTGCTACCAAAATATACTAATATATATATATATATATATATATATATATATATATATATATATATATATATATATATATATATATATATATATATATATATATACTATAGGGGTACCGGGCGTTGCACGGGTCTCTCTGTCTTCCATTATTCCATTTATCTATCCCTTCATCTATCTGTCTGTATATATGTCCATCTATCGATCTTTCTATCTATCTATCTATATGTGTCCGTTTAACTGTCCATCCATATATCAATTTACATATCCCAACAGGGACAACACGTCACCACAGGGACAACACGTCACCACAGGGACAACACATCACCACAGGGACAACACGTCACCACAGGGACAACACATCAACACAGGGACAACACATCACCACAGGGACAACACATCACCACAGGGACAACACATCAACACAGGGACAACACGTCACCACAGGGACAACACGTCACCACAGGGACAACACATCACCACAGGGACAACACGTCACCACAGGGACAACACATCACCACAGGGACAACACATCACCACAGGGACAACACATCACCACAGGGACAACACATCACCACAGGGACAACACATCACCACAGGGACAACACATCACCACAGGGACAACACATCACCACAGGGACAACACGTCACCACAGGGACAACACGTCACCACAGGGACAACACGTCACCACAGGGGCAACACATCAACACAGGGACAACACATCAACACAGGGACAACACATCACCACAGGGACAACACATCACCACAGGGACAACACATCATCACAGGGACAACACATCACCACAGGGACAACACATCATCACAGGGACAACACATCAACACAGGGACAACACATCATCACAGGGACAACACATCACCACAGGGACAACACATCACCACAGGGACAACACATCAACACAGGGACAACACATCATCACAGGGACAACACATCACCACAGGGACAACACATCACCACAGGGGCAACACATCATCACAGGGACAACACATCACCACAGGGACAACACATCATCACAGGGACAACACATCAACACAGGGACAACACATCATCACAGGGACAACACATCACCACAGGGACAACACATCACCACAGGGACAACACATCAACACAGGGACAACACATCATCACAGGGACAACACATCAACACAGGGACAACACATCATCACAGGGACAACACGTCACCACAGGGACAACACATCACCACAGGGACAACACATCATCACAGGGACAACTCATCAACACAGGGACAACACATCAACACAGGGACAACACATCAACACAGGGACAACACAGGGACAACACATCAACACAGGGACAACACATCACACAGGGACAACACGTCTCCACAGGGACAACACATCACCACAGGGACAACACAGGGGCAACACATCAACACAGGGACAACACATCAACACAGGGACAACACATCAACACAGGGACAACACATCAACACAGGGACAACACATCAACACAGGGACAACACATCAACACAGGGACAACACATCAACACAGGGACAACACATCAACACAGGGACAACACATCAACACAGGGACAACACATCAACACAGGGACAACACATCAACACAGGGACAACACAGGGACAACACATCAACACAGGGACAACACATCAACACAGGGACAACACATCAACACAGGGACAACACAGGGACAACACATCAACACAGGGACAACACATCAACACATTGACAACACATCACACAGGGACAACACGTCTCCACAGGGGCAACACATCAACACAGGGACAACACATCAACACAGGGACAACACATCAACACAGGGACAACACATCACACAGGGACAACACGTCTCCACAGGGGCAACACATCAACACAGGGACAACACATCAACACAGGGACAACACATCACACAGGGACAACACGTCTCCACAGGGGCAACACATCAACACAGGGACAACACAGGGACAAGACATCAACACAAGGGGTAGAGAGACCCACCATCAGGGGTGCGGGCAGCGTACAGGTTGGCTCCGCGCTCCACCAGTATCTGCATCACCCTCAGGTTGCTGTGTCTGGCACACCAGTGGAGTGGGGTCTCTCCTGTGTGAAGGGTGAGCGGTTAGTGTGATGATACAGCTGGTAGGGTGAGCGGTTAGTGTGATGATACAGCTGGTAGGGTGAGCGGTTAGTGTGATGATACAGCGAGTACGGTGAGTGGTTAGTGTGATGATACAGCGAGTAGGGTGAGCGGTTAGTGTGATGATACAGCGAGTACGGTGAGTGGTTAGTGTGATGATACAGCTGGTAGGGTGAGCGGTTAGTGTGATGATACAGTGGGTAGGGTGAGTGGTTAGTGTGATGATACAGCTGGTAGGGTGAGCGGTTAGTGTGATGATACAGTGGGTAGGGTGAGTGGTTAGTGTGATGATACAGTGGGTAGGGTGAGTGGTTAGTGTGATGATACAGTGGGTAGGGTGAGTGGTTAGTGTGATGATACAGCTGGTAGGGTGAGCGGTTAGTGTGATGATACAGTGGGTAGGGTGAGTGGTTAGTGTGATGATACAGTGGGTAGGGTGAGTGGTTAGTGTGATGATACAGTGGGTAGGGTGAGCGGTTAGTGTGATGATAGAGCGAGTACGGTGAGTGGTTAGTGTGATGATACAACTGGTAGGGTGAGCGGTTAGTGTGATGATACAGCTGGTAGGGTGAGCGGTTAGTGTGATGATACAGCGAGTACGGTGAGTGGTTAGTGTGATGATACAGCTGGTAGGGTGAGCGGTTAGTGTGATGATACAGTGGGTAGGGTGAGTGGTTAGTGTGATGATACAGCTGGTAGGGTGAGCGGTTAGTGTGATGATACAGTGGGTAGGGTGAGTGGTTAGTGTCATGATACAGCTGGTAGGGTGAGCGGTTAGTGTGATGATACAGTGGGTAGGGTGAGTGGTTAGTGTGATGATACAGTGGGTAGGGTGAGTGGTTAGTGTGATGATACAGTGGGTAGGGTGAGTGGTTAGTGTGATGATACAGCTGGTAGGGTGAGCGGTTAGTGTGATGATACAGCTGGTAGGGTGAGCGGTTAGTGTGATGATACAGCGAGTACGGTGAGTGGTTAGTGTGATGATACAGCGAGTAGGGTGAGCGGTTAGTGTGATGATACAGCGAGTACGGTAAGTGGTTAGTGTGATGATACAGCTGGTAGGGTGAGCGGTTAATGTGATGATACAGTGGGTAGGGTGAGTGGTTAGTGTGATGATACAGCTGGTAGGGTGAGCGGTTAGTGTGATGATACAGTGGGTAGGGTGAGTGGTTAGTGTGATGATACAGTGGGTAGGGTGAGTGGTTAGTGTGATGATACAGTGGGTAGGGTGAGTGGTTAGTGTGATGATACAGCTGGTAGGGTGAGCGGTTAGTGTGATGATACAGTGGGTAGGGTGAGTGGTTAGTGTGATGATACAGTGGGTAGGGTGAGTGGTTAGTGTGATGATACAGTGGGTAGGGTGAGCGGTTAGTGTGATGATAGAGCGAGTACGGTGAGTGGTTAGTGTGATGATACAACTGGTAGGGTGAGCGGTTAGTGTGATGATACAGCTGGTAGGGTGAGCGGTTAGTGTGATGATACAGCGAGTACGGTGAGTGGTTAGTGTGATGATACAGCTGGTAGGGTGAGCGGTTAGTGTGATGATACAGTGGGTAGGGTGAGTGGTTAGTGTGATGATACAGCTGGTAGGGTGAGCGGTTAGTGTGATGATACAGTGGGTAGGGTGAGTGGTTAGTGTGATGATACAGTGGGTAGGGTGAGTAGTTAGTGTGATGATACAGCTGGTAGGGTGAGCGGTTAGTGTGATGATACAGTGGGTAGGGTGAGTGGTTAGTGTGATGATACAGTGGGTAGGGTGAGTGGTTAGTGTGATGATACAGCGAGTACGGTGAGTGGTTAGTGTGATGATACAGCTGGTAGGGTGAGCGGTTAGTGTGATGATACAGTGGGTAGGGTGAGTGGTTAGTGTGATGATACAGTGGGTAGGGTGAGTGGTTAGTGTGATGATACAGTGGGTAGGGTGAGTGGTTAGTGTGATGATACAGCTGGTAGGGTGAGCGGTTAGTGTGATGATACAGTGGGTAGGGTGAGTGGTTAGTGTGATGATACAGTGGGTAGGGTGAGTGGTTAGTGTGATGATACGGTGGGTAGGGTGAGCGGTTAGTGTGATGATACAGCGAGTACGGTGAGTGGTTAGTGTGATGATACAGCTGGTAGGGTGAGCGGTTAGTGTGATGATACAGCTGGTAGGGTGAGCGGTTAGTGTGATGATACAGCGAGTACGGTGAGTGGTTAGTGTGATGATACAGCTGGTAGGGTGAGCGGTTAGTGTGATGATACAGTGGGTAGGGTGAGTGGTTAGTGTGATGATACAGCTGGTAGGGTGAGCGGTTAGTGTGATGATACAGTGGGTAGGGTGAGTGGTTAGTGTGATGATACAGCTGGTAGGGTGAGCGGTTAGTGTGATGATACAGTGGGTAGGGTGAGTGGTTAGTGTGATGATACAGTGGGTAGGGTGAGTGGTTAGTGTGATGATACAGCTGGTAGGGTGAGCGGTTAGTGTGATGATACAGTGGGTAGGGTGAGTGGTTAGTGTGATGATACAGTGGGTAGGGTGAGTGGTTAGTGTGATGATACAGCGAGTACGGTGAGTGGTTAGTGTGATGATACAGCTGGTAGGGTGAGCGGTTAGTGTGATGATACAGTGGGTAGGGTGAGTGGTTAGTGTGATGATACAGTGGGTAGGGTGAGTGGTTAGTGTGATGATACAGTGGGTAGGGTGAGTGGTTAGTGTGATGATACAGCTGGTAGGGTGAGCGGTTAGTGTGATGATACAGCTGGTAGGGTGAGCGGTTAGTGTGATGATACAGCGAGTACGGTGAGTGGTTAGTGTGATGATACAGCGAGTAGGGTGAGCGGTTAGTGTGATGATACAGCGAGTACGGTAAGTGGTTAGTGTGATGATACAGCTGGTAGGGTGAGCGGTTAGTGTGATGATACAGTGGGTAGGGTGAGTGGTTAGTGTGATGATACAGCTGGTAGGGTGAGCGGTTAGTGTGATGATACAGTGGGTAGGGTGAGTGGTTAGTGTGATGATACAGTGGGTAGGGTGAGTGGTTAGTGTGATGATACAGTGGGTAGGGTGAGTGGTTAGTGTGATGATACAGCTGGTAGGGTGAGCGGTTAGTGTGATGATACAGTGGGTAGGGTGAGTGGTTAGTGTGATGATACAGTGGGTAGGGTGAGTGGTTAGTGTGATGATACAGTGGGTAGGGTGAGCGGTTAGTGTGATGATAGAGCGAGTACGGTGAGTGGTTAGTGTGATGATACAACTGGTAGGGTGAGCGGTTAGTGTGATGATACAGCTGGTAGGGTGAGCGGTTAGTGTGATGATACAGCGAGTACGGTGAGTGGTTAGTGTGATGATACAGCTGGTAGGGTGAGCGGTTAGTGTGATGATACAGTGGGTAGGGTGAGTGGTTAGTGTGATGATACAGCTGGTAGGGTGAGCGGTTAGTGTGATGATACAGTGGGTAGGGTGAGTGGTTAGTGTGATGATACAGTGGGTAGGGTGAGTGGTTAGTGTGATGATACAGCTGGTAGGGTGAGCGGTTAGTGTGATGATACAGTGGGTAGGGTGAGTGGTTAGTGTGATGATACAGTGGGTAGGGTGAGTGGTTAGTGTGATGATACAGCGAGTACGGTGAGTGGTTAGTGTGATGATACAGCTGGTAGGGTGAGCGGTTAGTGTGATGATACAGTGGGTAGAGTGAGTGGTTAGTGTGATGATACAGTGGGCAGGGTGAGTGGTTAGTGTGATGATACAGTGGGTAGGGTGAGTGGTTAGTGTGATGATACAGCTGGTAGGGTGAGCGGTTAGTGTGATGATACAGTGGGTAGGGTGAGTGGTTAGTGTGATGATACAGTGGGTAGGGTGAGTGGTTAGTGTGATGATACAGTGGGTAGGGTGAGCGGTTAGTGTGATGATACAGCGAGTACGGTGAGTGGTTAGTGTGATGATACAGCTGGTAGGGTGAGCGGTTAGTGTGATGATACAGCTGGTAGGGTGAGCGGTTAGTGTGATGATACAGCGAGTACGGTGAGTGGTTAGTGTGATGATACAGCTGGTAGGGTGAGCGGTTAGTGTGATGATACAGTGGGTAGGGTGAGTGGTTAGTGTGATGATACAGCTGGTAGGGTGAGCGGTTAGTGTGATGATACAGTGGGTAGGGTGAGCGGTTAGTGTGATGATACAGTGGGTAGGGTGAGTGGTTAGTGTGATGATACAGTCGGTAGGGTGAGCGGTTAGTGTGATGATACAGCGAGTACGGTGAGTGGTTAGTGTGATGATACAGCTGGTAGGGTGAGCGGTTAGTGTGATGATACAGTGGGTAGGGTGAGTGGTTAGTGTGATGATACAGCGAGTACGGTGAGTGGTTAGTGTGATGATACAGCGAGTACGGTGAGTGGTTAGTGTGATGATACAGCTGGTAAAGTGAGTGGTTAGTGTGATGATACAGTGGGTAGGGTGAGTGGTTAGTGTGATGATACAGCTGGTAGGGTGAGCGGTTAGTGTGATGATACAGTGGGTAGGGTGAGTGGTTAGTGTGATGATACAGCTGGTAGGGTGAGAAGAGTCAGACTGAAGAGTCAGCCGGGGGGGGAGGGGGGACACACAATACTGAAGTCAGCCGGGGCACACACAAGACTGAAGAGTCAGCCGGGGCACACACAAGACTGAATAGTCAGCTGGGGGGACACACAAGACTGAAGAATCAGGCAGGGGACACACACAAGACTGAAGAGTCAGCCGGGGGACACACACAAGGCTGAAGAGTCAGCCGGGGGACACACACAAGGCTTAAGAGTCAGCCGGGGGACACAAGACTGAAGAGTCAGCCGGGGGGGACACACAAGACTGAAGAGTCAGCCGGGGGACACACAAGACTGAAGAGTCAGCCGGGGTGACACACAAGACTGAAGAGTCAGCCGGGGGGACACACAAGACTGAAGAGTCAGCCGGGGGGACACACAAGACTGAAGAGTCAGCTGGGGGGACAC